ACTCCTACTCTTGTCGACCAGAATGAGGAGAGGAGTCTTGATGCTCTCACTCTCTCCACCCCACCAAAGAAGGCAGAGGCTGTCGTCACCGAGAGCAGCGAGTCAGAAGAGAACGTGACGTTCAAGAAAGACTTCGGCTTCTGGATGATCATCCTTTCTCTCTGTGTCACATCGATCTTGGCTGCTCTTGATCTGGTATGTTTCCACCCTCTCATTGCTATTTTGCGCGGGTGGCTAAGATGTTTTATAGACGGCCGTGTCCACTGCTCTCCCCACGATCGTCGACGACCTGCATGGGGGGTCCGACTTTGTCTGGATCGGTTCCGCCTTCACGCTCTCTTCCACCGCCATCCTTCCGCTGTCCGGCAACATCGCCACGATCTTCGGACGCCAGTGGGCCCTACTCTCCTTTATTTTTCTTTTCGCCGTCGGCAGTGCCGTCACCGGCTCGGCTAGAGACATGCCCTCGATTATTGCGGGTCGGACCGTCCAAGGTTTGGGCGGCGGAGGCATCCTCTCCCTAGCAGAGATCGTCGTTGCGGACCTGGTGCCTCTCCGCGAGCGAGGCGTCTATCTCGGCATCCTTGGTGCTACGTGGTCTCTCGCGAGCGCCATCGGCCCGCCCATTGGAGGTGCGCTTGCGCAAGTCGGACAATGGAGGTGGCTGTTCTACCTCAATCTGCCTCTTTGCGGGATGGCATTCTTTTTGACACTCATTTACCTCAAGCTGAAGAGGCCGCCAGGGTCGATCACCGACAAGCTGGCGAGGATTGACTGGATGTGAGTGCGCATTGATCTAGCCTGGGGAAGCTTGCTGATCGTGAAATAGCGGTAACGTCATCATTATCATCGGTGCCACCCTCACTGTTGTCGCCCTCGTCGAAGGCGGTATCACCCATCCGTGGAACTCGTATCAGATCCTTGTGCCCCTCATCCTGGGCCTGGTTTTTAACGCCTTCTTCCTCGTGTACGAAAGCTACTGGGTGAAAGGGGAGCCGATGGTGCCCTTCGACATTCTCTCGAACTGGACTTCTCTGAGCGGCTACGCTGCCACCTTCGTTCACGGCATCGTCTCAATCATGCTCATCTACTATCTCCCTGTCTTCTTCCAGGGTTCGCAAAACGCGTCACCCGTCGAAAGCAGCATCCACCTGTTCCCTTCCGCGTTCAGCATCGCTCCTGCAGGTATTGTTGTAGGCATCACTGTGGCCATGACCAACCATTATGTGGCCCAGAACGTCTTCGCATGGATGTTGTTAATGATCGGGTTCGGGCTGTTCACCACTCTTAACAAGGACAGCTCGACCGGTGCTTGGGTCGGATACCAGCTGATCGCCGCTATTGGCGTGGGTATCCTGTTCCCCGTGACGACGTTCCCCATCCTTGCCCCGTTACCCATCACGAAGACCGCGCACGCACTCGCATACTACACCTTCTTGAGAGTGCTAGCCCAGACGTTCGGCGTCAGCATCGGAGCCACGGTTCTGCAGAACGAACTCATCCGATTTCTCCCGCCAGCGTTCACGGCACTTTTCCCCTCGGGGGTCAACATCGCGTACGCGGCTATTCCGCAGATCCCAACTCTTGCACAACCGCTGCAGGACGAAGTGCGGGTAGCGTTCGCCAACAGTCTGTCAACGCTGTGGAAAGTTGCACTGGGACTTTCAGCCGGAGGCTTGATGACGACCTTCGTCATGAGGCAAATTCATTTGCATGTGGAGACCGACAGCGACTGGGGTCGGCACCACAAGCCAAAGGAGGGAGATGTCGAGAAGAACGTGCCTACGCAAACACTGGCGCAACCGGTGTGAGGGGTGTGTATTGCAAGTACGGAATGTGAGTGAGCACCAGTTAGAGATACCTCATTGGTCTACACACACGCATGTATTTCTAGCCAGGTTTGAGCCAATGCTAGCATCCATTCATGATAATTTATCTGTACTTTTTTGAATCAGCATCGTCTAATATTCTGTGTCTTATGTTATCCCTCACGATCCCAATCATTCATCAACGCACACTCCCTTCCCATTATGGACTCACGGAAAACGGCAGCGTGTGTTTGGATGGAGACCGACGTGTATCAACAATTTGAGTGGTAAAACGCTCTACTCTCGTAGGCTTGGCTAGAAATACATGTGTAGACTAATGGGGTGGGGTGTCTCTAACTTGTGCTCACTCATATTCCGTGCTTGCCATGCACACCCCTCACACCGGTTGCGCCAGCGTCTCCATAGGGACCA